TACCAGTGATTCTCAGAGTGCTTCAGGATTGCAATCCTTCTAGGGATGCCATAAGACGCCAAACAATGTTGAGACAGTTCAGATCTATATGAACATATATAGCCAGCAATTTTTCCCCCCCGGGGGGGGGGGGGGGGGGGGGGGTTTGTTTTCGCCGACTGCCCCCCCCCCGCGGGGGGGGGGGGGGGGGGCAGGGATTTGACTTGCCTAGCTGTGTTCCAAAGTATTATCAGGCAATATACTATATACCAGGGGCCAAAATAAAAACACGAAGACTTGAATATTTTGTTCTTAAACAGCATTTCCTGTTCTTTTAAAAACTCTCAGTTTTTATTACTGAAATTTGAAATTTAATTTACAGTAACAGTGGCATAATGGAAAAAAGCAAACACACTCAGGGTAATTGAAGCAGCAGTTTAAATGCTGACTTGTTGGGTTTTTTTTTAAAGACAAAGACATGAACTATATAAAAGGACCAAAATAATTTTGTGGGGGCGGGGTTGCCAGGAGAGGGAAGAGACCTTCGAAAAGAACTGTTAATTGAAGAGAAAATCTCTAATAATTTATTGACCTTCAGTTTCACATTGTGAAAAAGATGAAATTTTACAAAACCTTAAGATGTAGTAGCACACAAAGAGACAGAACATGGACATTTTATTTCACTTGTACAGTTTTCTTTTAGTACGTGAACCACATCTTCAATAGCCAGGCAAGGCATGTTATTCAGCTCTAATCACTCTTATTCAGACAGGTGTCAGGCCTAGAGAAAAGGGTCTACACAATTATACCCGAAGTGGAAGGCTGTCCTTTGTTATAGGTTTCTACAGCAACCAGCCCACAAAATAAGAAGAACCTTCTTGTCTTATGCCAAGGTTTTTGTGCGCACTCTGCTGTGAATTGCATTTGCTTCAAAGTGTGGGGTGTTTTGCAGGACGAGAATGGTCAAGTAGTAAGCCAGAATTCCCACATCAATTCAAAGAGCAGGAGCCCAGAATATTCCCTGCAGAGCCTGAGGCCCACCCTGACTTCAACTTCCTTCAGCCTACACACAGGAATTAATCGAAGACTTGAAAGCAGACCACAACTTTGAAAACAGCTGCAGAAAATTCATCCCACTTTCGGAAGTTATATGGTGTTACAAAACAGATTTGTGTCACAAGCTAAATATATGGTACAGCTTCAAGACAGAACTCTATCCAGTTCAATGAAGAAAACAGCTCCTGGTCTTATAAACCTATATTAAAGTGGTCACACTGGGCTCAGTGCTTCACTGCCTTGTAACTTGTTATCGCTAACCCTTACGCAAATTAGATGTAAAACACAGCTATCCTAATTTTACTGTATGTTGCACTCATTCAATTTGCACCTGTGTGAATAACTACAAGATGAAAGGGTAACTCATGCCTATACAGGGTTGTATTGCTATTGTTTTACACAATCTAGAGGACAGGGATTTTTATTTTATTTTTTTTTCAACAGGGCAATCAAATCTAGGGAACTTGTTTAATGAAACTTGGGAGTCCTGATCGCCTCTTATTGGAGCTCACCCTTAAAAAGTTTTCCAGTGCCTTGGTCAATTAAGTAGTGTTATTTCTTAGCACTTGGGGAATTATCTAAACCCCTCTTCTATGAAATAAGAGAATAATGAAGTAAAGCAATTCTAAGGCAAAATAGAGGCATTTTAAGGGTGATGATCACTGTAAATGTTTTCAGATGGCAAGCTTTCAAGAATACAATCTCCACACAAAGAAATGCAAACATCAATATTGTAACTAGTTTAGTTTTAGCATGCATCCATGCAGCTTTAAAAAAAAAAAGTTTTGTTTGTTTGTTTTTTTACTTGTATCAAAGCATACCACAACCATGATGCCAACTTTAACAGTTTTATGTTGGGTTCTACAAACATGGGGGGGGGGGGGGGAAATCCAACATTTTTTTCATAATGAAGTCTGAGAAAGAAAGCACCTATAAAACATAAGCATCTGCTATCAAGAAAAGAGTGGGTTTGTACTTGATTCAAGACTCGACTGAGTATATCAAAATTGGTATGATTAAGTTTTGGTTTATCAAGTTCATATTTGACGCTTGAGTATCCAAGTATTTGAATACTTACCTAGCTATGTAAAAAAAGAAAAAGAAAAAAAAAAAAGAAAGGTGCAGCGGCTTGAGGGTTACTTCAGAACATATTCAAAGGATGAAAATATCAAAATTAACAATTTTACTACACCCTTTAGACCTCTGAAAGCATGCAGCATACAATGTACTTCAATCCACAGAGATGAACCAACCTAATCAGTGCAATGGGTTTTTTTAATAGTACTAATCTATCTTGGTTATTTCTTTATGTCCTTGAATCAGTAAGACTCCACTTGTTCAGGTATATGTGGCCATGGTAAACATTCCATAGTTTCAACCAATAAATAAATAAATAAATAACTTTGGACAATGCCTTTACTGGGGGCTCCATATGCAGAAACTAATCCACAGTATTTTCTATTTAAATCAGGAGGCTGCACAAAAAAGAAAGCTGTAAAAGATTTTGGCTATTCCAGATTAGAAATTCAAAGACATGACCAGGCAAATGAAATGTAGCAGGGACACTATCTACAAGATACACCACATGTAACCTGGGGAGTTGGTGGCCTGAGAAAGTGACCTCCATGGCTTCTTCCTTTACTATGCGTGTAATTTAAGATCCTGCCTTGTAATCCTTCCATTTCCGACTGAGGAAGCCATCCCCTCCCCCCTGCCCTACCCCTAACCCCCAACTGTTACTCAACAGTTTCTTTTTTTGTGCAGCAGAGCAAGTCAGAGATCACAAAATGTGCAAAACGTACAACTATTCACAGAAGCCCTTACAACATGAAGACAAACTGCAGGCATTGTTTCAGCATGCAAGCACTGAACAATAAATAGCTACATCTACAACAAGTAACATAACAGGAATGGAACAGTAAAGTCACTGATAAATACAGGGAAGGAAGGGGGAAAATTACAAATAATTTGGGGTTTTCATCACTTGTTCCCCACTGTTGCAAAAGTTCACACACACACGCACCAACATACACACACAGATTGTGCTGTTCCTTATCAGATAAAAGGTCACTAACTGCAGATAGGACAATACAATAAACTAATCTAATGGATGCTTCAGGCACCACCTATAAACAAGCTCATTTCCTATAGCAGAATTCTGCAGCAATACAGATTTATCTTCATACACAGCGACATCTCACTGTTTCAGACCTGGCCTGCAGCTGGTGCTGACACTTCAAACTGTCACAAAGAGAGGTGACAACCATTTCAAAACTTCACACACAAACAGTGGAGTCCATGGAAATTGAGAATTGTGTGTTGCACAGTTATGAAAAGTTCTTTTTCCTCTTTAAATGACTGATCAACGTTGGCATTTATCCACAATTGCTAGCATAGGGACCAGGTCACAGGTTTATTCATTCATATTTATACCATGTGCTGATGCAGTGGACATTTTTTCCTCTTATTCCTTCATGTATAGGTCAGATAATTTACAAGGTGCAGATGATTTTCTTCAAACTCAAGAGACACTGAACAATTTTTCTTCATAAAAACCATTTCTCCACAGCTGAGGTTCCAGTTGTCTTCTCCAAATAATGGAGTAAACTGAAAACAGAGAGGGGTGGGGTGGGGAAGGAAAGGCTTAAAGACTTTTGTTGAGATTAATTACACCATAAGGATTTTGTTAGATGTCAAAAGAAAAACAAAGAGCCAGGCTCAAGATACAGACTCTGCTGATGGAATTTGGTGTGTCTGTATAATCACCAGCTACTGATAGTAAATAAGCCACCCACACAATTATTTAGGATCAAATTCTGCCTCCCTTATTCACATGGCCCTACTTTTACACAGTGACTCCAATGGAAACTATTCATAGAGTAGTTTTATGTACATATAGTCCTTTTAAATTTTCAAAAAGTTAAGCTGTTTGGGCCAAATCGGTCTTTTTGCTGGATTTTGAAACAATGTTTTTAAGCAAAGAAAAAACAGTACAATAGGCTTGAGCTCAAAAACCAAAAAAAACCCCAAACCACAAAGAAAAAAACCCAGCCACTGCATGAAATTTCTCTCTCTTATGGAACAACCTCATAGAATAGTGAGCACAACCGGTTTGTTTTAATCATGGGCCAAATCAAACCAGATCAGAGACAAGTAAAAGTGAGCCTGAGGTGAGAGGAAAAGGTAAAGGTAATCTCCCACCAATGCTCTCTCTTGTTCACCATGGAGAACTCTAAACTGAATTCACTCATAGTGTAGAAAGTGAACATATCCATCTACTACTTTAAAAAAAAAATCTGTGCTTTTCATTATAGCAATTTTTTTTAAATATACATCAGCCTGCCTTCTTTACACATGACAACACATTGTGCCTCGCCAAATTCACAATGGAATTCTAAACAATTGATAATTCCATGTAAATGATAGACCTTAGATGATGAGATTTCACTTTTGTATTTCATTCTGAGCCAGTCAGACTCAGACTCATTATTAGTAATGGCTTTTGTTAGCACTGCTGTGATTTAGAGGACATGTTCTGTTGTCAGAAGCAAATACCAAAAAAACTCCAGTGAAGTTAATCTGAATGTACACATACATACATACATAAGAGCAGCACATGGCCATATATCATCAGTGCTGCAATGCCTTAAAAAACAGCAGAGCACTCTCACAGGAAACACTTCAGCCTTGGCTTGAAACCTCTTTGCTCTTGTGAATGTAAGACAGACCTGCATCATTATTTCCAACTTTTTTTTTTTTTGTAGTTTCTTATTGCTGATTAGCATCTTGTGGACTTTCTTCAGACTAGTGTGTCATTTTTCCCCTGGCATGTATATAGACATTGAAGCCAAAATATAGTGTTTCCTGTCATGAGATGAAGCCTAAAAAAAAAAATGTAGACTCTTTAAAAAAGTACAACTAAGCGCCCCAAGCCTGAGAAAAAAACAAAAGCAGACTAAAGTCTTCCTAAGAGCTGTCAGGCTGGGGCCACACAGCACCACGAAAACAGAGGGTAATCAGAAGTAATTTCCTTTCTGTCCCTCCCACCCACTGACAGAACAGCAGGAGTCAGTAAAAATCTACTGGCTGGATGCTCACGCAACACTAGAGGGATTTCAGTTTATGGCTGCATTCCTCCAGTTATCTTCCATGTTAGTAAAGCCAAATTAATGACCTCTAACAGAATATTGCAAAGCAAATGAAAGAGTTTGGTGCCATTATAATGCTGAATGCTATTTTTTGGAATAAACTGCTCTTTGTCTTGTATGCTGTAAGCTTTAGAACAATTAAGTCAATCTTAGAAGAATAAGTCAATATTTTTCTTGGCACAGATCTGAGCCCGGGCATTTGTTACAACTGTTCTGATAACAGCTGAAATAAGTAATAATAGAAACTTGCTGAATGGTCTGGATTTGATGACTTGTTCAGTTTTTCATCTAGCAAGGAAGTTGTCTCTAAAAACCTAACCTTCTATTTGCTCTGTTTTTGAGTTATTGGGAATATGCACTTAATCTCTAACACCCAGGATATGGCTAGTTACGAGTGTTTGCTAGTGTCAGGTAGAATCCAGAACCCTGTATTCACAGGGGAGAGAGAAAGTTAGACATGCCACAGGTGGTTATTCAACTTATTCTTTAAAGATATATAATTAAAAATATGACACCACTACATTTCCTACTAGATTGCAGCTCAGAGCCGCTCTTCTGCAGGTGCCAAATTTTGCCGTCCTTATTTTAAGTCAAATTTCAATACTAGTTATGAGGCCAGCACTACAAAACTTACTCAAAACAGAGACATTAATACTTCTAGCTACTCAGGTATTTTAGTGGTTTTTCTAAAGATAAAAAGACAGAGCCATAAAACCATCAAACAAGGTAGGCCAAATTTACACTTGGTTATGAGAAGATTTGTATTGAAGTCTTATTTGGTGTAAGCTCAAACCAATACGCATAACTAGAACAGTTTGAGCCAAGCAATTATTTCAGACAGCAGCATTAACCTTATTGGCACTCTCTCTAGTCAGATGTATAACTAACTTTAATCTGAAAAGAAAACATGCAAGCCAGACCTAACAGATCAGATTCTATCTTGCTTTAAGCAGGTTTATGTCACTAACTTCAAAAGGTGTTTCAGGTAGGTGAATTTAGTCCTTACATGTACATTGATAATAAAGCAGTTGCAACTTTTTAAAAATCACCATCCTTTAATAAACACCTGTGCTTCTCCAGGTCATGATCAAAGGATTAAAAGTGGATATTCGGATACACACGACTGGTCAGTCCACATAAGTAAATCAGGAAAATATGACCTATCCCTAGTAATAATTAAGATGTGAATTATTAAACTGTATTTTCCAATTAGCATCAGACCTAATGGAAATAACATGTTCAACATCTAAACTGTGGGGCAAGGTGATCCAGTGGAGAGAGCTTGGTAGTGAGTGTCAAAGACCCAGGTTCCATTCTTGACTTTGTTACAAACCTGAATATGGCTTTGGAACAGTCATCCCATATTTGAATACCATAGTTGCCCTGACTATAAAACAGGATTAATAGCACTTACCCTCCTTTTAGCATTACAGGTGAAGCTATGCACTAAGTTTTATCATAGGTGTATTCAGATACTATCATTTCTTACCTGATCATCTTTACTTGCAGCATACACATAATTAGGAGGGGAGATGTTTCCACGTGCTGACAAATGCTGTGGGAATTAATGAGTAGGGCACAGTGGTTATGCTGTTCCACACATCTAGTGTGGGATCATAGCAGTCTAAAGTTTTGCATCTTTGAATCCCAAAGTAGCCTCCAACAACATACAATTTGTTTCCAGATGCTACTGCATGGCAGCTCATTCTCTTAGCTGTCACATCTCCCACCTTGGTCCACTGGTATGTTTCACTGTTGAATTTATAAGCTGAGCATGCAGAGAATTCAGTATCTCCACCCATAATAAAAATCTGGTTGCCCAAAACAGCTGCAGCTGTATAGCGCCAGGGCTGAGGGCAGGTGGCTGGCACTGTCCATCTGTTTTCACACTGATCATAACATTGAACTTTGGGCAGTTTGTCATGGCTAACGCTGGTACCACCAAAAGCAAAAAGCTTAAGTTTTGCACTGACTACAGCTGCATTGCTCACTCCTTCTCGAAGAGGGGCAACCATTGTCCATTTGTTGGTCACAGGGTCATACTGCTCTACTTGCTTTAAGGATACTGAGGGGGAAGCAGGAAGACAACCAGTTGCTGCTGTATGTCCTCCAACAACATATAAACAATGTTTGAGTTCAGCTGAACCATGGCCAAATCTAGCTACCAGCATGGGAGCAGCCTTGGACCACTCCTCATGAAGAGTGTCATATACCCACACATCTTTAGAGACTCCATTTTCTGATCCCCGGCCCCCAGTGATATACACTTTGCAGCCAATAGCGCAAGCACTGAACTCCTTCCGTGGACTTGGAATGTCAGCCTTTGGAATAATCTCCTTTGCCTTTTGGTCCACCAGATATAGCTTATCACACATAAAGGTCTGGCCCCCCAGAAGAAAGAGTGAATGGCCAGTTTTACGAGGTCTGGCACACAGACTGGTAACCACGCCATCATTCTGCAAGATCTTTAGCTTGCATCTTATAGATTCTTCTACTAACTCTTTGCTTTTCCTTTGCTTTGTGATAAGCTCTTCCATGGCTACATTCTCCATGAGGTATATGGCTGGCAAGAGAGCCAGTCTCACAGTCTGCAACAGTTCAGGTAGATAACAGTGGCGTTTATTCAGGTCATAGTTAACCCAGTTCATGGCCGACTCATACACTAGTCTTTCATCTTCAGTTTCTAGTTCTTCACTGGATAGGAGCTGCACAACCATGTCTTTTGGCAGCTGGAGAAAATCTTCACTTTTACTGATGGTTTGAAAGTTACTAAGGCACATCCTCCAAGAGAGTTCATAAAGTTTGGTGCACTGATGAGCATCAGACAGCAGCAGCATGCCAAGGCAATTGGTAGGGTGAAGGTTCTTCTCCAGAAACTCTGCACAAGCATCTCGGATATCCTGGAATTCTAACATGTCTCCAGCCTCCAGCAGGGACTCTGCATTCTCTTCATTGATGATAACTCTAGAGGAGTATGCATAGTCCAGCAGAAGTTCTAAGACTTCTGGGTGAATAGAATTATGGAAATTGACTTCACTAGCCTGGCTCTCTTTAAGTCCTCCACTGAACATTGCTTCAAAGTAACGGCTGCAAGCAGCTAGAACAGCTCTGTGGCATGGGAATGACCTGTTCCCAGCATGAAGAAGCACATCAGTAAAAAGACGCTGTTGGCGCAGAAGGTTCAGGTGGGTAAGGACACTATCAGCATATGATGACTTGTGGAATAAGTATATGTTTATGGAGCCAGTGCTGGCCCTAGATTTACGATTCTCATGCATGCTGACTGACATTTTCTTCCACACCTACAAATAAAAGAAAAATTAAAGAAGATTAAAAGACTCTCATGACAACTGTTTTATAATGCTTTTTTAATTGAAAATTGAATTAAAGGCATCCCTGACAGTGACAGTAAGCAGGGAAAAAATATTCTGAAGTTCATCTTCAGAGTGGCCAAAGAACTACATATATTTCAGTGTGTATCTATTTTCTTCTGATGACTTTCTTAAAAGGACATGCTCCAAAATTATTGCCCAAGGAGCAGGTTTATCTTGGGAAACCTGATCTCCAACCTTAGTGATGGTACAGTACAAAAGCAAGTCAGAGGGAAAAAAAGGAAACCAGAGCTCATTTTCTCACCCCTCCTCATAGCAGACCTGCTGATTCATTATACTTATACAAACACACACATGCAAGCTTGAAACATTCTCCGGCTTTGAATCATAACAGGAAGAGCTACCAGACAGGATACCTTGTGGAATGTAAGAGAACTGCATGGAAAACAAGACCCAACTAATTCCAATAAGATGCCTTTCTTTGGTAGAAGGATTGTTCTGTAGGCAACAGCAGGGAACAGGATAAGTAAAATAGAAACAGATAACACAACAAAGACTTTTTTATATGACCAAAGCTTTATTAAAATGTTATAGCCAAGACTTACAGAGATCCATGTCTTCCACATCTCCAGCAGCAGCCTGCTATTGGCTGGTCTCAAAATTTTACATTGCAGTCTCAGCAGGGTAACTTAATTCTGTGCTGAAAACAATGGATCACTGCTTTTCTGCAATACCCTAAGTTAGACTCCCAGAGTGCACAGGGTTTTTCAAGGGTGCTGGGAAGGGGGAGAAAAGGGAAGAAGAATGGGGCAGGAGAACATGTTTAAAATATTTGGTGGTGTACCCTTGTTCCCAACCATTTCAAACTCAAGGCACCCTTTTATAGGCCTCCCTCAGCAAGTGTCAACTCTTAGCTTCCACTCATTTCATTTTTTGAGTGCAGATATATAACAGCAATTCTTCTGTTGTAGTCAATTCAGAAAGACCACAACCATGTCTGAATGTTTTTAACACTATGGATTCCCATTTCAAATTTCGGGGTCTATCTTGTGAATCATGCTTGCACACCTAACAGTGCTAACGTTGCGTGGCACCCTGCAGTACCCCTGGTAGAGAATCGTTACTCTAGCTTGGGCTAAGAGAGAAATTCAGCCAAACTGATGATAGATACAGGGATAGGCATGTGGACTATCTTAGAGAGGACCTGGCATGTGGATTTACAGTTTCGTACCTCTCGTGACCAAAAACATCCCTTTCTACATGTGAAGCACAGAGGCTACTGCAATACATGGATTGTAACATACCCCTCAGAGGAGGGGTTTTATTTCTTACAGTCCCATTTTGTATATTTATTACATTACAATTGCATATATTACATGGCAATTGTATACAGTCAAAGGAGAAAGCAGGGAGGATGCCAGCCTCCCCTAATAGCACTGAAATTCCCTGCACAAAACCGCCCCAACTGTGATTTGGGGCAGGAGATAAAGTAGGTTTTGATATCTGCTGCAAGATACGTGGACTCTGACCACCTGTGGAGGTCTTTATACAGATATTTCTCTCTCTCCTATAGTCTGGAACATTATCTTTCTCTGAACATGAATTAGCAGCATAGAAATATACAGTCCTGCTCCCACACTTCGTTCTTTCCAGAGGAAAAGCTGTAGCTGATTTCCTCAGAGCAGCATCTTAATAAGTAGATTGTGTAGGGGTTTTAGGGGTCTGAATAACTTGAGATGTATGTCACCCTAATTAAAACAAAGAATAAACAGTACCTTTTCACAAAAGCTGTAGTTTTCACAGAATTCATATAATAAAACCCACATTAGAATAAGAAATGCTTTGTGTTTAAACTTTGAAGGAAACAGCAGCATTTAATGATGTTATATTCATGTGGGAAATGACAGGCTTAAACACCCACTCACAGACTGCAACATGGCATATATCCTCTACCATACTTCAGGGAAGCAGTGGTATTACACAGCCACAGACGACAACAAGCACGTGCCTTTCACTTCACAGTCATGAGAGATAGTTAGTCATGAAGTCAGGCTGAAGGCAGGGCAGAATAGCATCTTAGAAACTAACTCACTCAAGAACGCATAAGCTTTCATAAGCAACAGCCTCCTTTATCGTTATGGTAAAACATGCCAAACAATGCTGTGACCTACTTCCTTTAACTGGGAACATAACTATTATTAGGAAGTTATCAAGGGAGAAGTATGGAAAGTACATAATGTTTGTACTTATCAAATACGATCCAAAGCCTCCTGAAATCAATGGGAGTCTTTCCTGTTACTTCAATAAGGCTTAAAATCAGATCCTCTGTGCTGTGCAATTGCTTGGAAAACATGTTTTGAACAATGCATGTTGAAACAATGCTGTGTGTTCACTGCTGTGCCTTTAAGTATAGCTCTGGACAAGTGCAGAACTCAAGTACGCTTTTAAAATATGTACAACTCACACAGCGTACTTGAATTTCCTTTTAAAGATAATTGCATTACTTGACTACTCAATGTTCGGGTGACATTCAAGCATCCAAAACACCAGGTTTAGACTTAAATTTACCCATTTAGTCAATTGCCAAAAGGAATTATAGTGACCATATGCCTCAAATTACAGGTCTTTGTAGCTAAAGGACCACAGAGTCATGGGTCCAAATATTAGTCCACCAACAGTTTATATGCAGAGGTGGGAAGATCAACTCTCACTTGGCAAGCACCTAGAGGTAAAACCTTACCGGGAATGTAATGAAAGTTTTGATTCAATATACTTTCTGTGTTTGTGCCTGAAAGCTTGCAAAGAACAATTTTTCCAACTATTTAGTTGGTCTAATAAAAAGATATCACATTTACCCAAAGAACCTTGTCTGTCTATGATTCAACATACAGCATTCAGTACGTCTGTCTAGACTGCTCTGGTTCATGTTTGGGTCCCAAGCCTTGAAGAATGCTTCTGCAGGGGTGTAAAAAAAAAAAAATCAATGGAAGAAAATGAAGGTATACAGGAACCCCACAAGCACTCAGAGCATCTTGTGTAACTGGTGGTAAGGGCCAGGTCCTACAAGGATAGATCCCTGATCCCATGTGCATTTCTCATTAAAACCAAATTAATGGGACTCTGCAGCAATTGAAGGTTAGATCTCTGTGGCAAGTTCTTTGTGGCTGGACTACCCCTCTGTGTACTAAAGGAACTACAATTATAGGGTTCAAAATTAAGTGCTTATGGCAGTTGCAATGACAGGGGAAGAAAATATCAAAAGGCTGCAAATAAAAGAGGTCTGATCCTGTCCACCTCTGTAAGTTGTAGCTGCACAGCATAATTTAGCATAAGGCCAGCATACACGACCCTCTGTCTGAAGCTAGTGGACAGCAGATCATATGCATAGGTGTGCGACAGAGGTGGGAAGTGCAGATCACTGCAGGTTGCCAAAGCCTGCCTGCAGCTCTAGTAACAAATGCTATCAGTTGAAAGAATGATACAATCCACTGGGGGGGGAAAAAAACCCTAAATAAGGAATTCAGAATTTCACCTCATTTCTGCTTTCAAAGTGATATCCTAAAATATAGATCCGGTCTTTCAATGACCAAATGTCATTCCTGGAATATTTTGACCACTGCATTTATTGCAATAAAATTATGATAAAATTGTCTTTACAGAAGAATCTGAGGTACGTCGAGTCACATGCAGAACAGAACAAAGACAAATATCTACTTCTCCTGCATGCTTCACCAAAGGTTTTACGTACACTCTACATAAAGGTAGTGCACCTAACCATTAAAAAGCAATGTTTTTGTAAGCAAGTCTGGTTTGCAATTTTTTATGCTGTTTGGACCCAAATATTACAAGAGTATTAAAAGTGGTCAGCCGACTCCTTTGATTTCTTCATTTGTTGATAGATATTATGCAAGCCTCACATATTTCAGAAGAGGTAATTTACATAGTCACTAAGCAAATGTTAGTCTTGAAAAAAAAGAGTCAAGTCCCTTCAGGCAAGTTTTTCTTAGAAATAACAACATCTGTATGTACAAGACAAGCAGTCAGTAAACTACAGAATATACACATTTTCCACAGATCAGTAAGAAAGGCTGAACCAAGGGATCTTATCATTATTAATGATACTACTATTACAAATACCAGCTACCTGTCACAGCAATATCAGATCTGATAGCCTAGGTAATTTAAGATGAAACAATAAACCCCATGCCCTACTTAATAGCTTTGGATTCTGCAGGTCTCAGCTCAGGCAATTAAAAAACAAATGTTTTCAACTATTTCCATATTAATGATGGGCCGGACAGAATTTCCTCTTTAAACACTGTCATCTCACATCATTTCTCCAGGGTGGATGAACTACCCACAGGTGTACTGCAACTGCTCTCTTTCTGTTGCTAATTCTTCAGTGATGCTGAGGTTATTCAGAGCCAAATCCTGCTCGTGCTTACATCCCTCCCAGTTTTGCCCTCATTGCACAGGAGCTGCACAAGGTGAGAATTAGGACACAGTTTCTGTTAAATCTGCCCTTTACAGTTCCCCAACAAGAGATTGAAAGTCATGGCTAAAGTGACCGTGCAACACCAACACACCGGTTGAGGTCCGCCGGACATGGTGCCACAGTTATTATCCAGTCTCCTCTCCAATACTGGACCCAAGGAGGGATCTCTCTCTCTCTCTCTCTCCTTCCAACATGCAGAAGGAAGAGCTTACAAAAAAAAAAATCATCAATCAACTAACATGACTTAGGTGATCCCCTCCTCCCCCCCCCAGTCACTAGAGAAGTAGGAAGAAGCCACGTTTCCGCTGGAGACACGAACCCCCCGGCCCCCAGCCAGTCCCGCAGGTGTGCGGGTCTCGCCAGCAGCCCCAGCTTCCCCTGCTCGAGGGGCGCGATGCTCCGCGCGGGGGATCGCTGGAGCGAGCGCGGAGCAGGCGGC